TATGCATGCAAGCCTACTCAAGGCTAAGGGGCAGTTTATCGCACCCAGACTCACAGCTATGAGAACACTGCTTTATCAGACTCCTTCAAGGTTGTGCGAAGCTGCTCACCCTAGTTACCCAAGCACCTGGATGAGGAAGCCAGGACTGCCTCCACTTACCCTACAGACATTAATTAAACAAAAGTTGCTCCAAGTGTTTTTTATTTTTTTTCCTTTCTGTATACCAAAGCTAGCTTCATGAAAAACTTGAATGATAAAATAATTAAAGACACAACTTTTCCCATATCCTGGTGCCCACAAAAACCATCTCTCTAACCTTCAAGCAAAGAAAATCAAGAACTTTAAACATGCAATTATCATGTGATCCAGTAATTCCACTGCTAGATATGTAAGAGATATGTTCATAAAAAGACCCATACATGAATATTCACAACAACCTTATTTGTAATAACCAAAAATTGGAAGTAACTCATTAGCAAGTGAATGAACTAATGGAGTATATTACAGCCATACAAAAGATTCAGCAATAAAAGAAGTACTGATACATGGATCAGTACAACATAGATGAACCTTGAAAACATTATGCTACATTTATGAAAAAAGCCAGACATGAAAGCCACATGTTATATGATTCTATTTATATGAAATATTCAGAATATTTATTAATATAGAAAGTAGATCAGTATTTGCCTATGGCTGGGAGGGAGGATGAGTAGAAATGGAGAGTAGCTTAACAGATATGGAGTTTCTTTTTGGGTTGATGAAAAATATTCTAAAATTGATTTTTATTATGATTGCACAGCTCTGCAAATATACCAAAAACCATTGAATTTTACATTTTAAATAGATGAATTATATAGTATATGAATTATGTCTCAGTAAAGTTGTTTAGAAGGAATGGCAGGCAGACAGGAAGGAAGGCCATTATTTATCAAAATGTTTCTTGTCCCCACCTCTTTCCTTTGGAGAGATCATTATATATAATTACACCTTTTCAATTGTCCCATAGGTCACCTATGCTCTTCTCATTTTTAAAATCTATTTTTTCTTGTGTATGTTTTATTTTGGTTACTTTCTATTGGTGAATTTAAGTTTACTAATCTTTTCTTTGATACTGGTCTAATATGCCATTAACCCTACCAATGTATTTTATTTAAACATTGTAATCTTCATCTCTAGAAGGACAATTTGGGCCTTTTTTATATTGTCCATGTCTCTGCTTAACTTATTGAACACTTGGGATACAGTTACAGTAACTGTTTTAATGTCCTTGTCTGCTAATTCTAATATGTGTAACAGTTCTGTTTTTGATTGATTGACTGCTCTCTTTATTATGGATTGTATTTTCCTAAATCTGATAAAGTCTCTAGTTATATCAGCATTTTATAAGTAATACAGGGGTAGGAGAACATGTTAACATCAGAGGAATGCAATCAGCAAAAGGTAAAATGTGAGAAACTTTACAGGACAAGCAAGCAATTTCTTCAGCACAAAAAGTACAAAGAGAAAAAAGTTTAACAGATTTTAACCAAATGCAATGTGAGGACTTTATTTGGGTCCTGACTTAATGAAATTAACTATATAAAACATTTATGAAAAAGTTTGGAAAATTTGAACACTTACTAGATGTTTTTAAATTTTTAATTTTAAAAACTATTTTAATGATTTCATGGTTGTTTTTAAAAGTAGACCATTGTTTAGAGATACATATTTATGGGTGAAATAATACGCTGCTTGTGATATGCTTCAAAATAATTCAGCGAGGGGAAGAGAAGGTGAGGTATAGCTGAGGCAAATTGGCCATGACATGAGAATTGTTGAAACTGAATAATAAGTGCATAGTTCATTATATTATTCTTTCCAGCTTGCAATATTTGGCATTTTTCCATAATTAAAAAAGTCAGATTTTCTCTTTTCTGAGAAGACTTGCCCTACTCTCTCCCTATATCTGATAGAATTAATTTGTTCAGGGCTGTTTGCTTATCATTCAAATAAATTAAAAATTCATTTATTGCCAAATTTCACCTTCTGATTTAGCCTAAACTCTTGAGAACTAAGAGTGTGTCTTACTCATTTTCTATGCTTTGTATTTCTGTCACCAACCACAGAATTAAGGTTCTCAATAAATGGTGGCAAATTGGCAGCTCTCTAGCTCCAGTTCACCAAAGTGTTCTTGATAAAGAGGTTGACTCCATCGTATTGAATCAAATTTCCAGGTTAGGTGTTGTGTTCTTTACATAAACATATTCCAAATGAACCAAAGGAATCCTAAAGTCAGGCAATAAAACTGTCAAGACAAACCAGGAACCCAGCAGGGAGGGGCAGGGTTAGCAATACTGAAATTGTTTTATAGTTCATTATGTATTTCTCAGGTAAATATTGCACTGTGACCTTTGCAAAGTCCTTCTGTCCTGCCCCATCCTCCTCTTTCTCATAAGATGGCTCTAAGTCTTGTGAACTGGAAGAAGGAATAAACCTGCTAAAGAGGACTCCCTGTGATTAACTGGGCCCAAAATCATACCGAGTTTGGTAGCCATTGCTGACAGAGGCATCTCATGTACACTGTATACCAGTGACAAGCCAAAGACTGAGCAGCCAAGCCTCCTGCACCAAGTTCCTGCTGTCTAAGCAGACCCTTACAAAGAAGTTCCCAGAACTGTCTCTCAACCAATGGGCTAAGATCTGCCCCATCCAATCAGAGCTTTGAAATTATATCATTTTTTTGCATGTTTACTGACCAATCACAGCAGATCCATAATGACCAATCAGTGCTATTTGGACCAATCCAACCGCAAAACTTTGGATTCTTTGTTTGCATAAAAATGGGCCAATCAGGGACCTGGGCAGGTGCTTTGTTTATTAAAGTCAGCTTTTGCCTGGCCTCCCCTTTGTCTTCTGGGGTTTTCACTTGAGGCTGCTTTCCCTATTTGCAAGTTGTTTACTTGAATAAAGTTTCTCCTTCAGTTGCACCCCAGGCTGGGGGACTCCTGTAGGCATTAAATTGGTGGCAGCAAACTTTTGTTGACAGCCTCATATAAGATACCATAATGCATGTAAAAGGGCTTTTTCAAAATTGGAAAGCAGTATAAAGTTTAAAGTATTCTAGCTCTTTTCCAAAGCATCGCAGCATCACAGATCTCATCATTTTAGCTATCAGAAGAATTGACTTTAGCCCTGGCTGGTGTGGTTCAGTGGATTGAGTGCCAGCCTGCGAACCAAAGGGTGGCAGGTTCGATTCCCAATCCAGGCACTGTGCCTGGGGTGTGGGCCAGGTCCCTGGTAGGAGGTGCACGAGAGGCAATCACACATTGATGTTTCTCTCCCTCTTTTTCTCTCTCCCTTCCCCTCTCTGTAAAAATAAATTAATAAAATCTTTAAAAAACATTGACTTTGGATGAAATTGTTTAGTAGGCAAAACCCATTTTGTAGTTACATATGTATACATATACTTACGTATAATACAAGTATGTACATATATATATCTTCTTTCCTTTCACTATAAATACATACATTTGCACCTATCATATGTGCTAGGTGCTCGTGACACAGACTGAAGATAGCCCAGGTTCCCAGGACCAATCCTCACAGGCCACCTACTCCCTATTTTTAAGTCTTTATATACCTCCCATCCCCCACCCCTAGATGATCCTTACTGATGCTGTTCAGTTTGATGACTGATTAATTTATTAGGTTATTTACATGCATATATACCCATATTTTGCCATGTATGAGGCGCACCCACGTTTTGGGCCAAAACTTGCAGGAAAAAAATCTTTCATTTTAATTTTTTAATTTTTATTTATATTTAGATACTTATTTTTTGTATTATAAAGGAATTTTATAACAAATAATTACAAAACACAAGAACAGATACAAGGTACAAGAAATTTTATCTACTGGAAACAAATTAGTAATAGCTATGTATAATGCACATAGTTATTTTTCCCTCAAAAATTTGGGCTAAAAACGTGTGCATTATACATGGCAAAATACAGTACTTACCTTTTTTTAATTAAGAATTTTACAAATAGCCCTGCATGGTATTGCTCAGTGGATTGGGTGCTGGCCTGCAAACTGAAAGGCTTCAATTCCCAGTCAGGGCACATGCTTTGGTTGTGGGCTAGGTCCCTAGTTGGGGGCATGCGTGAGACAATTGACTGATGTTTCTCTCCCTTTCTTCCTCCCTTCCCCTCTTCCTAAAAATAAACAAATAAAATCTTTAAAAAGAATTCTTCAAATAAACTTTTATTTGGACGTTCCTAATTCTGGGGATAGTTCTATTTTACAAATGTGTTCTTGGAGAGCACATAATGATAGACAAATGGTCTTTGAGTTCCCGTGGCAGTTAGGAAGAGGGAAATTTTAGGAGACCCCTCCCACCTGTGTCCTCTAAACTATTGATGAGGTTTTGTTTTCTGTCAGACCAGTTTACGAGGCATTAAAGGGGGAGTGGTTATTAGGAGGGCTGTCTCAGAATAATTCGTTAAATTGTGCATAGGTTTTATTTGGCTTTCTGTATTTGTGTTATATTTAACAATATAAGTTAAAAATAAATATCTCTTTCAACTTGTTTACTACTCCCAAGGAAAAGTGGCGCAGGTGCGAACCAATGGGAGGGTCGGAGTGACGGGGAGCTTCCAGTCCTTGGCGAGAGCTACCCGTCCGCTGCCTACGGCCTGAAAGGAACCATCCAGGCTGCCAGAAGGCAAAACAATCACTAACGATAACAATAATGATAATAAGAATTACAGTAATAACAAGTCCAAGAGACTCGCATTTCCAAACCGTATTAAGTACTCCGAACCACGTCCCCGCGGAGTTGCCGTGGAAGGAGCTGGGTCCGCAGCGCCTGCGGCGGCTCTCGCATGGCCCCTGGCGGGCCCCTTCCTGGCAGGGGTCCGCCGGGCGGGGCGGGGCCAGGCGGGAGGGGCGGGGCGGGGCCAGGCGGGAGGGGCGGGGCGGGGCGGGGCGCCGAGCCCGCGACCGAGGGTGGGGAGAGGCGGCCGAGGGGGCTGGCTGGCGGTTGGGCGGGGCGCGGTCGGGCCTCAGCTCCTCACGCGCAGCGCTGTTAGCTTCGTATCCCGCGCCGCCGCCGCTGTCGGAGTCCTGGCGGCAAGCAACGTCCGCAGGCCGAGGCAGCAGCCAGAGAAGTCGCGGGCACTGAGGTAAGCACTGGGACGCCCGCGCCGCGGCCTGGAACCCTAGGGCTCTTAGCCTGGCCGGAGGGTTGTGGCGAGGCGGGGGTCGGGGGGGGCGGTACGCGGAGGCCCAGGCAGGCGGGGCCGGAGCCTGGGGGCGGGGACCGGCCTGTCCGGAGGGGACGGCGCGATCGCGCTATGCTGATTCGGCTAACAGAGCCGTGGAAGTCGGGTTCCGAGGCGGTGCGGGCGCTTCTGCACGCCCAGCCCGGTCCCAGGCCGTGGCAGCCCGGGAGGTGTGGAAATCGCTTGCCCCGTGGGCGGCTACAGAGAAGGGAAGGCGGGGGATGGCCTGCTCCCTCCCACTTGCGGGGTTCCTAGGCCAGTTCGCCCGCGCAGCCTTCGGGAACTTGTTAACCGGAAAGCTTGGCAGAGAAACAAATGCCAACGTTTTGGAAGAACTGAGAGTCACGTCGTTAGGCGCTGAGGCTTTATTTTCCTTCCCCGCCCCCTGCCCAACCTCGGCCCGACTTGGCCAAAGAAGGATGTGTCACCAGCTCGGGGCCTTGGGCGGGATCCCCGGTCCGGCTGGGAGCGGGAGTACCTGAAACAAAGGTAAACGGAGGCCGGGCAGACCCCACCCCAGCCCCGCAGCCGCCCTGCTGGGTCTCACTCCCTCGCCGACCCCGGCTGCCGCCGTGGAGGGGCTTTCTCCTGGGAGACCTCTCGATGGAAACCAGCTGCATCTGAACTCTGTTGTGTTCACATTATTCTCAATCCTCCGACTCTGGTAAAGCTTAGGGAAATTTTATCCAGTTTTAGTGGTCAGCAAATGCAAAGGAGGATAAATTGCTGTTTGTAAATTACAAGGTATTTTCTTATTAGGAAATGGTCTGAAAGCACGTAATAAAAATTCTTAACACGTAAGAAAAAAAGCGTGATTTGTAGTGCCGTGCAAAACTGGAAGTGCTCCTCCGCAAATCATTTTTGTACAAATGATTTTTGTACATTTTTGTACAAAACAGCCTCCAAACCTTTGGTGCCAGGCATTTTTCTTTGTTCTTCATTAGTTTCAGGCCTCAGTTTCTTGTAAACGGAGCACCCAGTGCTGAGACCCTAAGAATTGCCATACTAGGTCAGAGCATGTGCATACAGCCTAGTAGGCAGCAGGTCTGTGTTGTAAAACTGTTTTCTTTTTTGGTGATGCCATTAAAAATTATCTCATTTTCATTTTTTTAGTTGTATTCATGGCTTTTAGTGAAAGCCTTTTAAAAACCTATAGACCTCTCCCAATTTATACAATTTATTCACATTTATTGTATCCAAATGGCTCTCCTCTCTGGCAGAGAACTGACATACAACATGAGATATTTGTGGGAAAAACTTAGGTCTTTTATAGATCTGGGAGCCCAGAAATTGAGGACAGGGGACATAAAAGTTAAGTTTATTAAAAACACAAAACTTTACCAGGACTACCTGGTCGCTGGATTCAAAAATAGCTTTATCCATTAATAACCTGAACATTAACTAGTTAAAGATTTATTTGTATTCATAAATATTTGCATATTTTAAAATGCAGCTTAGCATTCTGGAGTGTGAAGGGGCTATCAGACTTTTATCCTAGGATGAATTAATTTGGAGTTAATGTTTAGCTGAAACCAGCTTACCTAAGAGAATGAAAGTTTTGTTTCAGCAAGAAGGGAATTAAGGAGATGAGTAATTTTGGAGTATGGGATACTTGAGAGGCACCTATTCAAGACAGAACTGTGCCTTTAAACTCTTCAGAGGCTCCTCATGACCTCTGTCAGTCTCCATGGACATGGCCCCTGCCACCTTCTAGTGTGCAGCTGAAGTTATGTGTACTTCCTTTCTAAAATATCTTGACATGTGCTCCCCCCTACCCCACCACCTCAAGTGGAAATGATCACCCCCTGGGACATTATCATCCTCTCTCTAAATTAGAGGTTTTGTCGGGTACTGTTGGCATTTGGAGCAGATAGTTCTTTTTTGTGGGGGCTTATCCTGTGAATTACAGGATGTTTAGCAGCATTCTTGATGTCTACTTAATGGAAATCAGTATTACTTCATTACTTCCCACCCTACCCCTACCCCTACCCCAATCATGACAGTCAGTCACATAACCCACACAGTCAAAAATGCCACCAGATATTGTCAGGAGTCCCTCGGAGGGCCCAGACCACCCTCTGTGGAGAACCACTGTTCTAAACAGAACACAACCTTAACACCAGTAACAGCGCATTTTCCTCATTTGCTTATGCATTGATTTTTATCTCCTAAACTTGAGAGCAGGAGCAGTCTTATTCATTTATTTGACAAATATCTGAGGAAGGGCCTACTTTGCCAGCCATACACTATTTAGGTTTGGGAATCCACTGGTAAAAACAACTGATACGGTCTTAGCACTTTTAGACATTACAGTCTAAAGAGTGAGAGAAGCATGGATGTTTAATGCTACAATTACCGCATTACAATTGTGATCAATTCTGGGAGAAGTACAGGATGCTCTTGAGTATGTAAAACAGTGGTCCTGACCTAGTTTGGAAACTAGGAAAGTTTCCTTGCGAAGTGAACTTTAATAGGAGTTGGGCTCTGAAGGATAAATAGAAGTTACAAGGTGAACAACATTCACCGAAGGTGACAACATTCACTTAGGGGGACAGCATTCCCAAAGAAGGAAAAGAACCTTTAGGGGGAACTCAGAGAGTGATAGGGGCAGGATGATATAAAATGAAGCTGGGAAAGTAAGTGAAGCCGGTCTCAAGCAGCAGTTCCCAGTTCAGCCTGCTCATTAGAATCACAAGAGTAACTTAAAACAATACTAGTGCCTGTCTGTCCTCCAAGCCCATTAAATCAGAACGTCTGCAGTGGTTCTACTCCCTTCCCTCCCCAGCTGCCATTTTCCCCATACCTTCCAAAAGGATAAACCACTGTTACTAATTACTGTGACAAACAGCTGGCATCAGGTGGTAGCAGAGGAGATGTAGAGAACTAGACGGTTATGAGATGTATTTAGGAGACCTATGTCTAGACATTCCTTGTGCACGTTTAGCGAATGTGTATTCTTTCCTCTTGTTTTCACAAATGGTAGCATACTGTACGCACTGCTTTGTTCCTTGTTTTGTTCTCTGAACAATGTCTTGGAAATCTTTCCATTTCAATATATAGTTTCCTTATTCTTTTGGATGACTGTAATATTCCATTGTATGGATATACCATGATGGACATTTAAATTGTTTCTAATAATTTACTATAACAAACAGTACTATGCTTATACCAGTTCACGTGTATGAATATGCTTGTAAGATAGAGTCCTATAACTGGAATTGTTGAGTCAAATGTGTACACACACATATTTGTAAATATTTATGTTTGTAAAACATCACTCTGGTCCTACTGGAAAAAAGGGTTTAGAAGGAAACAATAGTGAATGTGGGAGACAACTGATCCTAATTAAGGTTACTGTGTGCTATAGAATGAATTGTGTCTCCCCAAAGTTGGTATTTTGAAACTCTAGCCCCCAATGTTAGTATATTTGGAGATAGTCTTTAGAAGATAATTAAGGTTAAATGAGGCCATCAGGATGGGACCCTAATCTGATCAAATCGGTGACCTTTTAAGAAGAGTAGGGAGGAAAGGCGATGTGAGCACACAGTGCGAAGCCAAGAAGAGAATCCTCACTAGAAACTAACCCTGCTGGACATTGATCTGGAAATTCTATAAATTTCTGTTGTATAAACCACCCAAACTATGGTATTTTGTTATAGTAGCCTCAGCCAGCAAGTATACTGTGGAAAAGGAGGAGAGAAAAGATGGTAGCTGGGATCAAGGTGGTAGCAAAGGAGATGGAGAAAAGTAGATGGATACAGAAGAAGTGGCACAAGCAGTGAGAGGAAGAAAGTGGTGCGTAGGACGACTCCCTGAGCTCTGGCCTGCCCAACTAGGTGAATGGTGGAGTTGTTAGCCCAGATAGAGAACACTGGAAGGATAAATAGTGTTAAGGTGTGTTTAAATCACATTTCACTTTGGGACTGATGAGACCTTCAAGTGGAAGTCTCTTTTAAGCATCTGATACTTCAAATTCAGAGCCCAGAGGAGTGGCTGAACTGGGGACACAAGTTTTTAGGTGTAAACTGAAAGGTGTGGATGGAATTACCAAAGGCAACGGTTGTAAACGTGCAGCCCAACAGCTTAATCTGGTTTACAGATGTGTTTTGTTTTTCCAGTACAGTGGTTTTTGTTGTTGTTTCATTTAAGTTAGTTCCCATGAAAATGCAGATTTGGGATTTTTTCTTTAAAAATGAGAGGATGTGGCTCCACTGAGCCGGTTTTCCCATATGGCAACAATTGATTGACGCTAAGTCACAGCTGATCCCAGCTGCTTTCTAGTTCACCAGAGAGCCCACCATTCCCTAAAACTTATGCTTGGCCTGCTTTGCTTATTTACTTCTCTCATCCTGAGGCATTTGAGTGTGTGGTCCCTGCTCTAGGAAAAGATTATAAAACAGTGATTCTCATCTTGGCTGCACATTGGGAACATTGGATGATTAAAAAATACTGATGCTGGGGCTTACCCTAGCAATTTTTGTTTCTGTTTACTTGGTCCAAATTATAATCTGGGATTTTTAAAATCTCTTCATGCAGTTCCACTGAGTAGTGGAAATTCTGAACCATTGATGGAGATTAAGAAGAGAACAGGGCTCAGCATTTGGGTAGGAGGGTAGCAGCCCCAGGAAAGAGATGGGAAGTGGACAGAGAGGTACAGTGGAATGGCTGCTTGCTTGCAGTTAAGGCATGCAGAGTTAATCTGATACACTTGAAGGTGTTTTAATTAGTTGAGAGAGTGAAGTTTTATTTTGCATCTGTGCTTACTGTTTTGCATTTATACATATATGCTGTTCATTTACCACATAACATTGTGTACACAAAAAAACAGGTACGTTTACTTCATGAGCCATTTCAAGAGTAATTTAAACTATGCTTGATTTTTGTTTTAGGTGCTTAATTTT